TTTATGTATCGTGTTTCCCTGAAAAGACCCAATCTTATTTTATTTTCACCCCCAAAATCAACACCAGGCCTTATTTTCGGGGGATGTCTTGCCCGCTTACCTTAGGGCCACAGCAGCCAGGCCTCCCACGCCCTGACACCTACTGTGCGGTTGCCTGACATCTTCTGCGGCCGCTCGCAGCTAGACACCGCGTGACTCATGGCCCTGGTCACAGCCACTTGTGACAGAAAGCCGTGAGGTTCATTGCGTCGTTGCAGCTGCTCGCAGGGCACCGCGTGGTGTGGTGTGTTGTTGCGCGCAGGAGCGGCTGCACCAGCACGACGAGCCTCGCCGCCTCCTGGGTGTGGGAGGCCTGGCTGTGGCGGTCCTAAGATAAGCGGGTACGGGGTGCATGGGGCAGCTCCACCCCCACCCGCGCACTAGATTTTTACGCCTGCACCTCACCCCACTTCATACAACCAGATGGTGGGTGGGGCTTAACTAGGAGCTCATTTTTGGGATAGAGCTTATATTAGATGCAGGTGTGAAAATCGGGCTAGGGCTTCTTTTTAAGGATAGGTAAATTTTGGGGGAAACACAGTATGTATGTATAAATCAATAGATCAGTTTGCAGGTAGTTTAGGCCAGCAAAATTAGACTTATGGTGGCACTGGTTCAAACCAGGGGTGAGATTCTACCAGTTCGCACCTATTCATTGGAACCGGTTGTTAACATTCTAAGCAGTTCGGAGAACCGGTTAGAAGAAATTACTGGGCTAATCCTGTAAGGAAGGCAGGAAGGAAACATTCTGGTGTTGCTTACAGAAACTGCCTCTCCGTTAACCCTTATTACATTCTTGGCAGGACTAGACTTCCTGTCTCAGGAACTTCTCTGGAGTTTTTTCCCCTCCTTTGCTAGTACTTTGCTTGTGTGGAGTGACCATTCAAAGTTACAATGGCACTGAAAAAAGTGACTTATGACCATTTTTCACACTTATGACTGTTGCAGCATCCCCACAGTCATGAGAGGCCAGGCGAGGAGATGCGTGCCTTGATGTGAGGGATGTTGAGTTGGACACGCCCACCCAGTCACATGACCACCAAGCCACACCCACCAACTAAGCCATGCCACAGAACTGGTTGTTAAAAAAATTGAATCCCACCCCTGGTTCAAACCCAGTACAAACATAGGCATGGGTGGAAATTTATTAATTCTATGATAAATTCAACCAACAGTTTCTCATAATCTCCCAGCCAATAGGGTGATCCGAATGGATCTCCCTGAAGGAAATAAATATTAAGTTACTCTTTTATAATAGAATTAGAAATATTAAGTGCATTATTAAGCTGTGTTGTCTTTGTTGCCGTACCCTAATCACAAAGGATGTTCATTTAAACAAAATGTGCTTGGATAGTTGCAGGCTTCTTAGAAAACAGGAACATCCACCCAGGCAAAATAAACCAGACACATAAGATAGGGACATCTGCCCAAGGCCAAGCTACAAGTAAACCAGATAAGGTATCCGGTGCCTAGGAAGAAACGGTCAAGCTGACCCTTTACCTTATAGTAATATGACTAAGAGATATTAAGGGGTGTGGGAAGGGCTTCTTAGGCATGGCGTGCATTGTGTAGGGTGTATAACATGTTATTGTTTGACCATTAGATCTTGCTCTTCTTGTACCCAATCCACTTTGGAAGGGACTTGAAGGCCCATTTGCAAACACTTATTTTCTTTAATAAACCTTTGAATTGTGAACCAGACCTGTCTCTGCATTGTATTAAATAATTTGAGTCTTGCATCTCACATCCACGAGAAGGCAGACAACAGAAACGATCTGTTCTCGTGCAAGAGAGACCAAGACCAGGAAATTTGAACTGCTAGTCCCACAGAAGCAGGGAAGGAGGACTTAAAACCTGTGCAATTTCCTCTTGTTTTCACACTACTTTCAAACGCGAGAATTTTAGACGCTGTTGGCCACCTTGGAGAATTTATGGACTCCCTGAAGTTGGTTAAAAATGCACCTCCCTCAAGCCATGAATTCCAAGACCATGAAAACCCCAGCTCCCTGAATTTCATCTCAAATTAAGACTCCTCCAAATTTCTAACCGGGACCCTCTGAAGCAGTGGTCACCAACCGGTGAGCCGGGGACCACTGGTGGTCCGTGAGAAAATTTTGGTGGCCTGCAGAGAAATGTCCCCCCGCCTCCAAAGCAATTAATCTAGGCTGTGCGGGAACACAAGGCTGTGCCGCCCACATGGCCTGCCCACCCTTTGGCCGAGCGCAAACCTTACCTTGAGTAGAGCCACGCGAGCTGGAACTGGAAGGTAAGACCAACGCCAGAGGAGGAAAATCCGCCCCAGGGTGGCTTGCTGACGTTGGTGGGAAAGTCGGTCCCATATTCCTGAGCTGCAGTTGTCACAGGACTGGCCCTTTGGTCATCCCGGAGCACCTCCTCCAGTCCGTGGCAGGCCGGTGCACCCGGGTGGAGGAGTAGCTGCTCCAGGATGACCAAAGGGCCAGTCCTGTGATTACTGAAGCTCAGGAATATGGGACCGACTTTCCCACCAACGTCAGCAAGCCACCGTCAGTCAAAATTCATATTAGTGGTCCGCGGGGTTTAAATTTATGAGCTTGGTGGTCCCTGAGGTCCAAAAGGTTGGAGACCTCTGCTCTGGAGCCCCTGCCCAATCCACCGAGGAAGGCAAGCATAAAAACAGAGAAAATAGCCCGTTCTTTTCCTCGCAGCTCCGGAACGAGCAGGGCTGGATCAGGCACTCACCCTCCTGATGAAACAGTTGTAAGATGGCCGACTCTTGCGGGTTGAAGAACAGGGTTGCCATGTCGTTGTAAGTATTATTATGACAGAAGAATGTCTTGATGCTTGAATTAACCTCCTCCGATGAAGAATCCTTGACAGAAAACAAGCAGCCGCATTTGAACTCCGGTTCCAAAATCATGTCAGGCATCCCTAAAAAATTTACCTCTCAAGGCCCCCGAAGGGCTGCAACCTTTCAAGATGGCGCCTTCACTTGGGACGCAGTTCTGCCAGAGGGGCCTGGGGACCCCAGAGTGAGATGGAGCCCCTGAAATGGTTGGTATGAATGTGTGCTGTCACCAGGGTGGGTGATTATTTTCCTAATTTATTACAATACCCGTGGCTTCATTACGAAACTCTGTGGTCGGGCTTAGTTTTTGGGGAGGAAAATAAGGGGGGAAAATTCTGCCTCTGCCTACTAGCATCCATCCATATTCATCTGGCTAGCATCCTGTCAGTGTGTGAGAGAACTGAGGGCTGTTTGGAAACTGAAGCAGCATTTACTATGTGAGCAAGGAGACAGCAAGGAGCCTGGGTGTGGCTTAGCTCAACTGTTCTATACTAAAGCTGCTTGGTGCTCTGAAACTGAAACTCCTCTCCTCTGCTTGTGTTTTGCATTTGGAAGAGATTTCTTTTCAGGTGGGGAGGGGGAGTAGAACTCCTTAGCATCAGAGCGTGTTAATAATAATAATAATATAGGAAATGCTAATGGGTCTGATGGTCATTTCGAAAAGTCCTTTGTTAGGGAGCCAAGAGGAAGATACGTGCCCAATTTCAAGTTTATAGGCTTTACGGTTCTGGAGATTTTGTGATGATCCATGTAGTGGTCTTTCGCTTTTATATATATATACAGATTTTATTATCTTTCTTTTTATTTTTTTTACATGGTTTGGATATTCGTGTCCGCCACCTTGTGTCGCCAAGTGTGAGCAGGTGGCAAGATAAATTTTCTAAAATAAATCAAATGAATAAGTAAAACCGTGTCAAGAAAGGTTGCAAAATTCACTTAGCAAACGTCTCTCTTAGTAACAGACACGTTGGGCTTGACTGTGGTCGTAAGGCGAGGACTTCCTCTATCTATCCTCTAAAAGGGAGTCCCCCCCCCCCAAGACTTGTCCTGGGGCTCTGCAACCGTTTCCCTGGCAACCTTCAAAATGGAAGGAAGGGTTTAAAAAGGATTTTATAAAACCCCAGAGGTGACACTGAGATAACACCTCCACCTTTTGAGGCGCGTAAGCATGAAACGTTCCCCGCTCACCTGCAGGCTGAGGGCGGAGCTGTTGTCCCCGTGGTCAGCGGAAGAGAGTGGCCGGCATTCCCCGAGAAGCATCGAAGCAACAAATATCACAAGCGTGGTTGTCAGACACACCAACAGGCTCTCCAGGACTCTGCAAGCAACACAAAAGCACAAGAGAATCACGCCAATGTCCTGGAAATAGGGTTTGGTGGTTGTTGGTTTTTTTTGAACTATTACCATCTGGCAGACGGTACAGAATAATAAAAACAAGGACAAAAAGGCTGAAAAACAGCTTCTATCCCAGGGCAGGAGCTCTGTCGAATTCTACTGTATATAATGCAGTTTTGGTGCAGTGTTGCGGGTTTTCAATTCAGTGTGTGGAGTGTGAAGGATGTGCGTTTGTGTTTTATTTTTATAGTTATATAATGTACACTGAAGATGGAATTTAATTTCGTTGTAGGAGGTGCAGTGACCGTAAAGTAGTAAAGGATTAAAGTAAAGCAGTAAAGTAGTAAAGCAGTGAAATAATAAAGTAAAGCAGTAAAATAATACAGTAAAGCAGTGAAATAATAAAGTAGTAAAATAATAAAGTAAAGTAGTAAAATAATAAAGTAAAGCAGTGAAATAATAAAGTAAAGTAGTAAAATAATAAAGTAAAGTAGTAAAATAATTAAGTAAAGTAGTGAAATAATAAAGTAAAGCAGTGAAATAATAAAGTAAAGTAGTGAAATAATAAAGTAAAGCAGTAAAATAATAAATTAAAGCAGTAAAATAATAAAGTAAAGCAGTAAAATAATAAAGTAGTGAAATAATAAAGTAAAGCAGTGAAATAATAAAGTAAAGCAGTGAAATAATAAAGTAAAGTAGTAATGTAAAACAGTAAAGAAAAGTAAAGTAGAAAAGTAAAGTAACATAAACTAGTCAAGTAAAGTCATCACCCCCCATTCCAGCTGAGCTGGAGAGACCCCCAAAACCCTTGATTTAAGGGGCAGCCAGTCCTCGACTTAGGATCACAAGGGAGCCCAAGATGTCTGCCATTAAGTGAGACATTGGTTAAGTGAATTTTGCCCCCATTTTATGACCTTTCATGCCACAGTTGTTCAGTGAATCACTGCATTTGTTAAATTAGTCCACCCAGTTGTTAAGTAAATCTGGCTTGCCCCTCGACTTGATTTGTCAGAAGGTCGCAATAGGGGACACAGCAACAGTCATAAATATGGAACCAGTTGCCGAGCGTCTGAATTTCGATCACACGATCAGGGGGAGGCGACAAACGTTGCAACTGTGAAAAACGGTCCTAAGTCACTTTTTTCCCCTGCCGTTGTAACCTTGAGCAGTCATTAAATGAACTGTTGTAAGTCGAGGACTGACTGCACTGGTGATTTTTCTCCTCATTGTTGTGGTCCGCCAGCAGCCGGTGCAGACGGCAGTGGAATCGGACAGTGGGGAAGAATGGGGACCAGTCCGGGAGTCTGGGGAGGACTTGAACGAGGGTCCTGCGTCCGATGCAGAGATGGGGCCAGGACCATCTGGGAGTTATGTGCTGACTCCGGAGCCTCCAGAATCTGGCAGCAGCGAGGCAGAGAAGCAAGGGGAGCCTGTTCCCAGTGTGCGTATGCACAGAACTGCTAGAAGGCAAGAGCAGCTAAAACAAAACGAGCAACTTGGGCTGGAGGTGATTGCCCCTTCCCTAAGGTATAAAGGACAGGCAAAGGTAGAGAAACCTTTGCAGGAAGCAAAGTCTTTCGTTCAGTTCAGATTCAACCTTGAAGCTCTGTGTGGACTTTGTACTTCGGTTTTTTTTTTATAATTCATTTGGCACTTTAGTTGTTGGCAGCAATTCAAAGGAGAGAAAGGTGAGTGCTTATCTCGGGGGACTGTTTGGGACTCATTACCGGCTGGGAATGAACATAATTCCCAGCGTTGAAATAAAACAGGAATTGTTTTAACTGAGCGTGTGCTTAATTATGGTCTCGGAAGCCTTGGTCAGAACCCTCATGGAGCCCAAGGCAACATGGGAATAGTGTCCCTCACACTTGCCCACAGGTCTCCCTGCATACAGAAAACGAAAGTACAGGTATCCTCGACTTACAACCACCTGTTCAATTGAACATTCAAAGTTACAGTGACGCTGAAAAACATGACAGGACCATTTTTCACACTTATAACCCCATGGGATCAAAATTCAGACGCTTGGCAACTGCAGCTGCAGCGTCCTGGAGTCACCCGATCCCCTTTTGCGACCTTCTGACAAGCAAAGTCCATGGGGAAGCCAGATTCCCTTAACAACCATATTACTAACATAAGGACTGTAGTGATTCGATTAATGTCTGGGGCAAGCAAGTCATAAAATGAGACAAAACTCACTTAACTGTCTTCTCTTAACAACAGAAATTTGGGCGGCTCAATTGTGGTTGTAAGCTGAGGACTGCCTATGCAGCCCCTTCCTTTTCACCCACAGCAAGTGTCACTCCAACACAACCTGGCACCCCAACAACAGCTACTGTCACAAACGTGCCTGCCTTCTCCTGCTTTACACCGATTAAAGCAGAATAACGAAGTTGGAAAGGACCCTGGAGGTCTTCTAGTCCAACCCCCTGCTTAGGCAGGAAACCCAACCCCATTTCAGACAAATGGTTGTCCAATCTCTTTCTTTAAAACTTCCAGTGTTGGAGCATTCACAGTTTCTGGTGGCAAGCAGTTCCACTGGTTAATTGTTCTCACTGTCAGGAAATTCCTCCTTAGTTCTAGGTTGCTTCTCTCCCTGATT